ATTATTTTGGTAATAAAATAAGCATCTTTACTTTCAGCACAACAAACAACAGTTTCTCAACCATTGACAAAAGTTGATCAAGAAAGGTATTGCCAGTACTTTAAAAGCTCCCTCGGGTTCTTGTTTATTCATGTCAAAATGATTCTAAAGTTGCTTTACAGTGTTTGGGGCCAGATGTCCAAGTCTGGTTGTCATTGTAATAGATCATTTTACAGTTGTCTGTTCAGTGACCTCGTCTTTGAATGGCAGCGAGGCTGTAGGTTACCTTGTTTTGACAAAGACCGCTTTTGATAAAGAACTTATACAAATGAAAGTCCACATTGGACATCATATCCTTATTATTGGTAAGCAAGTAATTTATTCAAGTCAACTGAGAAAATCTAAACCTCTCAATTCATTGTTAAACTGAAATACCTAGAATGCATTGAACATTACATCGCTTAGGGGAGAGATAGGATTGATTTTCATGAAAAGAAATAGAAAATCATAAGAAAATAAATCTTTACTAATTTATCATGTAGTAGCTATACTTTGTAAGCACTGTGGTGGCACGCATAGCTAATAGTTCTGTAAGTAGGCTGAGCAATTTTTGTTATTTGTGGTGTAATAGTAGTGTAAGTACAAGCTCTCTAAGTAGGTTTATGAACATGTAGTTGTAGTAGTGTAACTAAAACAGTAATGTAATGTAAAAAAAAACCCTCACTGCTTTTGGTATGTAAACAAGTTAGCATAACTAGTTAACTAGTTGGCATTTTAATGATAAAGCAGAGAGGTCTGTATCAAAGCAAGGTCACCTCCAGCCTCGCTTGCATTCATAGGCCAGGTAACTAAGCACACAACTGGGAAATGGCCTATTGATGCATATTGTTTTCTGCATGTATAATTATGCACTTACACTGTGAATATATTTACAGTGTATAAACCAGCAACCTGTAGACCACAATGGGTGTGCATGCATACATGTTGTAGACTAGTAATGAGATAGTAGGGCTGGTAACAAGTCCAAGAATGCATTTAGTCTGCAAGAACAATGTGATTTATTTAGTTCTCATTTCAGTCACTGGCCAAACAGTCAAAGGGGCTGTCAAAAAAGCAGCTCATGCCCATAAGAAATCTTGAGTGA